AAGTTTTACAATTTTACTGCGACCCAGATAATTCTGCAACCAGGTAGGTAATCTTTAATTTCAGACAGAGCTTAAGAAAAAAATACTACTTGCGGGGGTCAAATTTTGGGTTAAAAATAACATTTTTTGGCATTTTTTGGTAATTTTGATGTGGTAACCATGGTTTTCACACAAGTGACATACATAGAAAAAAGAGGTTTATACACTTCTCAGCGCTTTATATGTATTGTAAATGTAATGCAGTTTACAAATATATATACATGTATACATGTGTTGTGTAGGGTAAATCCGCTGTGTTTACATTTCCTCGACATGTGCCTTGTTTATCAGAGTCGGGCCATTTCTACTGTATTCTGCTACCTTAACCTTTTCACAAATCCTCTCTCTCTCTCTAAACATTTTGTTCTGATTGATATTCTGATTGGTGGTAATTTGGTTGTAATGAGTGTTTGGCTTGTATCATGACGTATTCAAGATGATTTTACTGACACCAAATACATGTACATGTAACTGAATACATTCTTAGTAAAATTTGGAAGAAATCTTACTTCCAAAGTGCCAAAATCTCTGAAATAACGTTTCCGTGAGAACTACTCACTTCAGTTATGGCTCCAACGCGTAACGACTATATAACAAAGAAAACAGACCTTTTCTGTAATATCAAGTATGTGATGATGATGTTAACCTTGCTCAGTTCTAGCGATATATTGTCCAACCCAGTACCAGTGAGATTCCTCTGTGGTGCTTGTGGTAAACCTGTTAAGTCCAACCAGTGTAATGAATGCGATTTCAGGCACCAGAGGAAATGCATCGACTTATCTGCGGAGGAATACTTTGCTTAAGGAAACTCTCCTAACTCTACTGGTAATGATGTATGTGTACCCTTCCTAAATGTATAGACTCCTTCTTGAGAATTGCATCTGATGATGGAATACACCTCCCCAGTGACCGGATAACGGTTGAGAGAGATCTCCCTTTCTCATAGGCCGATGTAAACAACTCCCATACTGATGTCTTTTAGGAACTACATGTAAGAGGTAAGCGTAAAGTTTGTCAATGAACATTATAATTGCACATCTGAACATTAAGAGCTTACTCAACAAATTTTCTGAAACATCATGTATCCTGCAAACTCTGTGACAATTTATTCTTTAATGAAACTAAACTTGACGACACCTTCGCCCAGGTATGCTTTAACTGCGATTGTTTCAAGGGCTATAGGAAAGACAGAAATGCTCACGCAGGTGGCTTATTAGCATATGCTCTATCTGAACTACCAGCCAGGCGCAGGCTTTATTAAGAACTCAATGTAATTGAGTTGTTAGTGATCGAATGCTCTGTCAATATTAAGAAATTGGAAATTATAGGGTCTTATAAACAGCCCGCCAATGTCCGATGACATAATCACGGAGAGCATGACTACAGGCTTTGCCAAAATTTCTACCATTTTGAAAATAATTTAGTGATCTAAATCCTGAGACTAAAGGGAATTTATTGTTTGGTCAATGTGCTATTTTTAGCAAACTTGGTCAAGTCAGTCAGTTGCTTTTTTAGATAATGTATTGTCTTTTTAACAATCAAACCTAACTTTCACTTCTATCATTTGTTTTACCTGTTTTACCTGTCCAAACAATTTGATTGGTATGACAATTAATCGCTATGTCTCCCTAGTTAATAAGCAGAAGATACATTTTAGTAGTTATAAAACCTTTGACAAAGAACGTTTTAATCAACCTATAAATATGATTCCTTTTTATGGACAAAGAGGTTATTAAGATTGTAAATATGTTATCATCTGCATATATTCAAGTCCTTATCATGCTTAAAAATGTATCTTATAGTCTAAGGAAAGACAATACGGTCGAGATTCCAGGAGTGAACACCACCAGGTTTGGCTTGGAGTTTTTCGCTTTGAGGCAGTGATATTTGTTTATGTTTGACTAGCTGTTAGTATTTAGCTTGGTATATTGTCTGCTTGAAGTATTTTACACGTGCTTTAATGTGTTTATTATGGAATTTGTTTTGTATTGATTGCTTGTTGTATATGGAGACTGTGTACATAGTTGTATATTATCTGTATTACTCAATATATA